GCCAACCCTAACCCTAGTTGACTTTGTGTTTCTACAAATTTGCCCTTTAGTGGTGAATTGCCATTTTTACCTTTCTTTTTGTAATGAGTAGGCAATATCCTCCATTTGAGCATCAATCTTGCTCTCAAGGTTGATTTATGGAACCTTTTTCTTCGAGAGTCCTTTTCGGAGCAATATCCTCCAAGGCTATTACTATTTTACTTGCACAACAGTGTCTTGGAAAGTACTGGTCTTCCCCCTTGTAGTAAGTATTTGTTGCTCTTCGAGATTCTGTTTCTTTTCCCGTGGTTCTGAAAGGTTGATAATAATCTCTTATTTTGGATCCTTCTAAAAGTTGGACAACTTTGCTAGAAAAATATGAATTGCGAGACAATTCTATCATGGATTGTTCTTGGAGTAGCGCTTGTTCAAATGCTTGATTGAGCGAGCGTAGGTTAAGCAATCTTGTTATTGGCTGCAGTCCTGGTTTGAGTCTGTTGATAAAATTGGAAATAAATTTTTTTTCAAAAAAAGAACATTCATTAACGTGCGCAATTGTTCGAGATGTCCTTGATATTCAAGGACGACTCCGGTATATGTCAGCTTGTTAAATTCTTCAACAAAATCTCCTCGTGAGGCGCCCCCAAATCTTCAATAGAGTTCTTCTAGGAAGAAATTTCATTCGAGCTGTTCCACTTTTGCCAACTATTCCTTGTACCAGATGTATACTACATCACTCGGAAAAAGTGAAGCAACCTCTACTTTTTGCTCTTCTGGTATTCCATGCACTAAAAAGAATTTATTGCATTTTCGTATCTAGGCACGAGGATTAATTCCATCAAAAAGTGGAATTTCTACTTTGGGTAGGTGGGGCAGTTGACCAAAAAAGGGTGAACCAGTATGATTTATGAGAGAATTGGGGGTCTGGGTTGATTCAAGGAACTAACTACTTTGGTTCGGGCTGGGTCGAACTGGGTCGGTTTGGTCTGGGTCGGTTCGGTTTTAGCAAAGTTGGCCTGGGCCGGTTCGATCTGAGCCAAGTCGAACTGGGTTGGTTCGTTTCAGTTCAGGTCGAAAGGATCTAGGTTGATCTGGTATGGGTTGGACTGGATCACTAGCTTTAGAGTTTTTTAAACTTGAAACCTTTCTTCTTCTTCGTTCGCATGGGGAGTCGGCAGAACTTCTTGCTGCTCGATTGCGATGACCGGGGACAGCAATGCCGAGCTTGCCATTGCTTGTTGCGGTGCGTTGCCGTGCAACAACTTCGCCAAAAACTCAAATTGCTATGAGATTTTTTCTGGCTCCGCAAACTTCGGCCACGAGGTCAGCTAACCACTGGTCAAGCTCCTTCACTGTCGGCTTTACTTGTTTCGCCATAGCCACCACCTTCCCTTTGGATCTGGTGCATGAGGCAACACCGACATAGGACTCGATCGGCTCTGGCTTTGATACCACTTTGTCAGCACCCTTAGACATGTTGATTGATATGAAAGTAAGAGAAGAAGAAGAAGAAGAAGAAGAAGAAGAAAAGAAGAAAGAATGGTGAAGAGAAATCTGAAGGGTAAACTT